GGAGGGATTGGGGGAAAGAGAAAGAACTCATGGACAGAGACAACAGTGTGGTGATTGCTGAACGAGGGGGTGGGTGGAGGTGGAAGAGGATATAGGGGGCATAGATGGTGATGGGAAGAAAATCTAATTGGGTTCTGTGCCTGTTAGGGCATTTCTGTATCAGGGCCACAACGTCTAAAGTTAATCCAGTGACCCAGGTCACCCTCCTGCCTCTTAAGAATGTCACATGCTCCCTCTGCTGGACAATACCTCAGGCTCGAGCTGAGTCCCGGAACCCGCCTGCAGTTCCCACCCTGTCCTCTAAGATCTGGGTGTTTGGTGAAGCGGGTCGACGGCCCTTTAAGAGGCAGTAGCTAGCTCCCAGTTGCCATGGAGACAGCTGGATACACACCAGGTAGCGGCAGCAGGCGGCATGTCTTCTAAAGTTCAATCCAAAGGTGGGAAGAGGGCTGCGAGGGCTGGGCAGGGGAGGGCCATCTTCTCCCTCACAACCTGGCCTGGGGTAGCCTGGAGGATCCGGCTCCGGGACCACTGCCCCACCCCTGCCTTTCTCCCCGGGTGGGCCATCTCAGCCACTTTTCCCTCCATAGGTTCCAGAGCCAAAGACCAGCAGGCCTCAACCCCAGAGAGTCTGCCACCCCCGGAGGCCAATGCTGAAGCCATTTGCTTCCTCAGCTCCCTTCGTGAGCTTGGGCAGTGTGTGTGTGTTGGGGTGTGTGGGGCGGGGGGGTGCCAAATGTGGGGAGAAGAGAGGAGAGAAGGCCCAGACCTGGCCTCTCTCTCTCCTGGGACTTGGAAAGAGCTGATATTTGTTAATATTTTTCAAAGGAAGACCCCAGGGACACGGGGGTGGCTGGGGTGCGTCTTCACCTGCTGGCTGCTGTAGAGGCAGATGGAGGGGAGGCAGGGCTGCCTGGGAGGTGCCGATGAGGGGGCAGTGGGTGGGGACTGTGGGACGCTGGTGGCCAGGGGGGCAGAGAGTTGAGGCCTAGGAGCTGGGGCTTTATCTGTCCCCGTGGGACTCTCACCCCCAGGGCAGGAGGAGCTGCAGATGCTGTTCTTCTCGGAGACTTTGGCCATGGTCTCGAACACAGGGGTGCCTCAGGGAGAGCTGACCATTGAGGTGCAGAAAGGGAAACACGAAGATGATATGAGCACCATGTCACACTGCCCCCTCGTGCATGCCTTCAGCCGCGGCTCCATGGACAAAATGCGCTTTGGAAGCTCTGTCCTCGGTAGAGTTCCTGCTGCCTAATGCCCTTAACCCACGGCCTTCCTCCACCTCCCCTCCTCCATTCCCAGGACTTTACTCAGGACCAATCCTTGGACTTCACCTTGGGACCAGAATGAGGCACAGAGGGTGTGTGGGAGATGGGAGTGACAGGGAGGTTAATCACAGCCACAGATGCAAGACAAGAGCATGACTTTTGTCTAGTTTTTTTCTGTGGCCACACTATACCTGAGTCTTTCAGCCTGGGCCACCACCCTTGGCCTCCTGCAACCTCCAACCCTACTCCCTCTATGGCTCTGTTCTCCTCCTTCCACCCCAGGCTATCTCACGTGGAAACTGGAGATCATGGAACAACATAGTCAGGAATTCATCAAGGTACCTCCTGGGGCCTCCAACCTTGACTCCAATCCTGGATGAGAGAACAGACACCCTGGGAGAAAGGGAGGGAGGAAGGGGGGGCTCAATAGAATGTCACCCTAGCTCTCTCTGCAGTTACCCTGTAATCCTTACAAAAAACTGGGAAGCCATCCATCCGGGGTGCTGGAGGTCAGCAGCAGGTTGTTTCTGCTGACCTAATACACAAACGCTGCTTCCAGCCCATCTTGGACCCCCTGCAGCCTCACAGCCGAGTATCTCCTGGGGCCATGTGGGCTGACCTTTCTCAGAGTCAGGCCTTTCCCAAGGGCTTGTCACCACCTGCTTCCAAATTTTTCTGCTCTGTGCCCCTCGTAACAAGCCCTAGCCACTTCATTAACTTCTGGAATGTGACCTGTTTATACCTGGGAAGCTCCTTTTGCCTAAGAACCTTCCCACAGAAACCATTCCCACCTTTTAAAACCTGTATTTGAAGTGCACTTGCTTTTTAACTGTATACTGACCACAATGTGACTTCTATCCTTGGGCTGTCCAACACATGGAAGGTTTTTTATTTAAATCTCCCCTTGGCATTCTCATTTATAAAGGAGATGGACAAGGTGGCCTGGCGGGGAGGGGGGGCGGGGGCGGTCCTGTTCACGTACAATCAGGCAAGTCCCTGATCACCCGTCCGTGCTCTGGCCCGCAGTTCCCCATCTTCCCCATGGAGCGGAAGACTAGTTTGCTGAAGCAGGGGAGTCAGCTGGCCATGACCAGGAGTGTCAAGGAGGGTGAGGTGAGCGGGAGAGCCAGGTGGGAGCGGTAGTCCATGTCCTCTTGAAACCAGGAGCAGGGACCAGATGGCATCAGGCCAGGAGCCCGGAGCGGGGACTCGGTGGGGACCATATGCCCAACACCTGGCTTGCCCACCCTCCCTACCCCTTTCTGGCTCTATGTTCCTAACCCAGATTTGTCCTGAACAGGAAATGACGACTGAAGTGACATATTTCCCCTGGGACTCAATTGCGGGCTTCATCTCCGAGGCTGCCAACCTGCTGTTGCTGAGGGTGATGGCCTGGAGGCAGATGGTGCCCAGTGGTGCCCGCTTCCTGGCCTTGGATGCCGAGGGCAAACTCTGCTATTCCACTTACGTGAGGGATCTCCCTGGGTGGGGGACTTGGCCTGGGGAGAAGCAGAAGGGGCAGGGGAATGCTGAGGTGGGAGAAGAGATAACTGCGGAGTGGAAAAGGGGGTAGGATGGGGGTAAAACCAGGGCAAGGGGGCGGGACTTCCAAAGGCAGGAGAAAGTAAGACCGCATTTGTTAGAAGGTCAAGTGTGGGGCCGGTGGAGTGAGTGAGAGAGGCCGAAAGGTGAGCTGTTGAGGGAAGCAACACTTTCTTGCACAAAAGTCAGCCAGGACAAATAAACATAGTGGAGGGCTGCTTTTAAAGACACATTTTAATATCAGGAAATGAGCTATCTCCAAGTACACTTAAATATTCTTTATTATGTCTCAACCCTGAAGGGTCTTCCTTTTTTCTTCTTCTTTTCTTTTGGCTAAAATTTCATAATCAGCATACCTAGGACTTCCTGCAATATGTGATTTTAAAGCCGTGCCTCTGAACACACACTTTGGGGGTTGATTGGACCAACTTTGTAAATGACATTCTAGTCATTTCTGTCACACATGACAGCAATGTGTTGGCACAAACAGGCACATGCTATTTACCCCCATCCCCGTGGCCACAGCCCTAACAGGGGTTTAAGTTTTAGTTCTAGCAGGGCATCCTGCCCGTAGCATGAGGGGGCCACAAACCTCAGTCTAGTCCCAGCCCCCAGAGCCTCACTGCCCTCTGTCCCCCAAATAGCGCCCCCACACACTCACACCTAATTGGATGACCCTCATCCCTGTGAGAATCTGCCAACTAGAAGCACTTGGTCATGGAGAGGGGATGAGGAGGGGGTGGGGCAGGAGCAGGCTGGAGCTGGCTATGAGGGGAACCCCCCCAACTTGACTTTGGGGGCACAACTCAAATCTTGTGGCACCTGAGTGTCAGACAGCCAAGAGTTGCTTATCACTAATGAACAAGGAATGAAGCTATAAGATGGAGAAAAGGGCCAGGGAAAGATTTGTGGGGAGACCCTGGTGGGCATCCACCTCACTTCCTTCCCTCCATTTCGGCTGCTGCCAGCAAGCCCTGGGCTCGCAGACCATCCAGGTGGACCGTCGGCAGGCGCAAGTGTTCATCGTGGCGCAGACCACACACTCGAATGAGGGCATCCCCGTGTCCTGCCAGTTCTACCTGCTGTCTGATGGGTGAGCTACTGATGGTGGGGCCGAGGGGGCAGTGTTGAGCACAGCTGGGGCGCTCATCCACCCAGGGTAATGGGGAGAAGGAAGACTGCTGTTTCTGGGGACACCACCAGGAAGAGTTGCTGTTGAGACCTGAGTGCCCTGCTTTATCCATATCATTCATTCATTCATTCATTCATTCATTCATTCATTCATTCATTCATTCATTCATTCATTCTTCTCCTGTACCTCACAGGGCCTCCCAGACCTCACCAAAGAGCCCTAAATGGCTGAGGGTGTTCATGCCAAATCCACAGAGCCTAAGGCATAGCTAACGCAGCTGGCACAGGTGTTGGGTTTAACACTGAAAAACACCAAGGTTTGAACAACTCAGCACTCGATAAAATGCTGTGAGAGGCATGCTGGCACACTGCCAAGCTGTCACCAGCAAAGCCAGGCATCAAACTATGAGAAAATTTGGGAGGGGGAGAAGGATTTGTTTCTTGAAATTTCCAAAGAGGTATTGCCATAATCACCACACTCAAAACATACTGTAATCAGAGCATCCTTGGCCTTCCTTCGTTCCTAACTTAGCATGTTTGTTTCTGTTTTGCACGTCGTATGTCAGAGGCTCATGGTTTTTTTAGTGCTTACAACTCTATAAAGGTCTCAGTCCAGCCCTGTCACACGAGCACACATCTCCAAGGGTAGGAACAGTACCCAGTTTGAAAAGCAGGGGCCATTATCTGGGGAATTAGAAATGAACTTGAACTGGGAACTCAAAGATAAATGTGAGGGCAGCAGTCAAGGGGAGCCCTGGCTGGCTGCCTCTCAAGGGAGTGGGTGGTCAGGGAGATGCACACCTTCTCCTGTGGCACTCCAGGCACCTGGCCAAGAGGATCCAGGTGGGCTCCTCCAGCTGCTGCATGATCACCAAGATGCCTGTCTTGAGGGAGGAGGGTGAGTGAAGCTTCTCGCTGGTGGGAAAGCCGGAAAACCCAGGGCCTTCCCTGATCAGGGGCTGGACTGAGTGTGCTGTGGGTGCGATCAGAGACGGAGATCAGATGGAAAAGCTTTGCCCTCCAGCCCTTGACCTCAAGACAATTAGAGGATCATTTTGCAGGGAACCACTTGCAGCAACTCTGACCACATGGGCAGAACCCTGGGGTTTCACCTGAGCCTGCAGTTTGGGTGTTCTTGGGCATCCCTGTGAATCCCAGGAAGGCTCTGGGGTCGGGTCACACAACCTTCCTCCCTCCGCACCCAGATGAGATTGAGCCTCCCCCGGTATTTGAGAAGAAGCCCCTGGACTGGGAGGAGGACTTGGAGCTGTACTCGAGGTTCCTGGAACGGAAGGTGAGGAGGCGGCAGCAAGCCTGGGGTCCCCAT